TAATAGCTTGTTTAGAGAACCTTTCCATGATATGCTAATTTTTTGGGACAGGCATTTTGGGTTTTCATGAGCTGTATGCCATAATCATCAGTATTAAAACAATTAAAGACCTGAAATATTTCAGTTGGTGTACAATGAATCTGAAATAAATGAAAGTTTCATTTTTATCATTACATTATGGAAAATAATGACCTTTATCACAATATGCTAATTTTTTGAGAAGGACCTGTATATATATATATATACACACACACATATATATATATATACTTATACATATACAGGGTAAATATATATATATATATATATTTTATTTGCGGACCTCCAAGCACCGGTTCGCGGACCCCCGGTGGTCCGGGGACCGCAGTTTGAGAACTACTGGTTTGAACAATAAACATTGAAGGGCACCTCTTTGATTAATTTATAGTTTTGTAACACACTTGTTAACTTTATGGTAAATAGTAGAGGACAGAAAATGTGAAGACACATTATGAAGACTGGTTTTATGACCAGTGCACCACTTGTAAACCTATTGTGGGACTATGGATAGCGTGGATCTGATTTCCTTAGCTTCATGGTTGCCAACAGCCTCAATAAATAAACAAGTCAGTCCCGCTCCACTCGCTGTTTACTTAGATTCTTGGGGGTGGACAAAGTTAAAATATTTTCATCCATTATTTAGGGGCGGCTATGGCTGAGCGGTTAAAGCAGTCGTCCTCCAATGCAAGAGTCGGGGGTTCGAATCCACCAGCAGTCACTTGCCGAAGTGTCCCTGGGCAAGACACTGAACCCCTCATTGCCTCTGATGTGTGTCCCATCAGTGTATGAATGTGATAAATCACTGATCAGTCTCTTTAGAATGATTTGTTCAATTAGCTTTGTAGAGATCTAGTAGAGTGCTGTATGAACGGGTAAATGAGGACACAGATTGTTGTGTAAAGCGCTTTGAGTATCTTGATCAGATAGAAGTCAAGTCAAGTCAACTTTATTTATAGAGCACATTTAAAACAGAACCTGTTATCAAAGTGCTTAACAACAACAACAACAACAACAACAACAACAACAACAACAACAACAATCAATAAGTAAAATTAAAGAGAAAAATATATATATACAATACACTAATAATAACTGAAGAATTAATAAAAAGCATTTGAAACATAGGGTCATAGATTAAAAAAACACTAGATCAATTTACACTGTGTGAAACGCCTGCGAGAACAAATGTGTTTTAAGCAGGGATTTGAAGTGAGGAAGGGAGGTGGCCTGCCTGATGTTGGGGGGCAGGTTGTTCCAGAGTTTGGGGCCCATGACTGAAAAAGCCCGATCTCCTCTGAGCTTCAGTCTTGTTTTTGGAACAGCCAAAAGCAGCTGATCAGATGATCTCAGGGCCCGAGAGGGAACGTAAGGTTCCAGACGCTCAGAGAGGTAAAGGGGTACGAGGCCATTTAAGCATTTGAAGGTCAACAGAAGAATTTTAAAGACTATCCTCGTACGAACAGGGAGCCAGTGAAGGGAGGACAGACCTGGAGTAATATGTTCAGACCTACGAGTTCCGGTTAAAAGCCGAGCAGCAGCATTCTGGACGAGCTGAAGACGTGAGATGGAGGCCTGGCTGATCCCAGCATAGAGTGCATTGCAATAGTCCAATCAGGTCGTGACAAAGGCATGGACTAGTTTCTCAAGGTCGGGTCTGGACAATACTGGCTTGAGCTTAGCTACCTGTCTGAGTTGGAAGAAGCTTTTCTGCAGAACAGAGGTGATTTGTTTGTCAAACTTAAGTCAGAGTCTAAAACCATCCCGAGATTTTTACCAGACTGCTTCAGATATGGCTGAAGAGAGTCCAGGTTGACAGGATCAGTGGCGGCAGTTGAGCTAGGGCTAAAGACAATGATGTCAGTCTTCTCATTGTTAAAACTTGAGAAATTTGAAGCCATCCAGGCCTTAATGTCATCCAGACATTTTAACAGAGGGTGAATGGAGCAAACACTTGCTGGTTTCACAGGCAGGTAGATTTGGCAGTCATCAGCAAAACAATGGAATGAAAGACCACGTTTCCTCAGGATGGACCCCAGTGGGAGCAAATAAAGTGAGAACAGAAGGGGTCCAAGAATCGAACCCTGTGGGACCCCGCAAGAAAGAGGTAATGAGGCGGATACATTATTACTGACCTTGACACAGAAACTCCTGCCACTCAGGTATGAGCGGAACCATTCTAATGCAGCACCTGTGATCCCAACCCACTGTTCCAGCCGTGATATAAGGATACTGTGGTCAACAGTATCAAAAGCAGCAGTAAGGTCCAGGAGCACAAGTATCACAAACTGACCAGAATTGTTTGATATCATAATGTCGTTACAAACCCTTACTAATGCTGTTTCAGTGCTGTGGAGTTGCTTAAAACCAGATTGAAAAATCTTGAAGATTCTGTTTTCATTCAAAAACTTGTTTAATTGAATGAAAACTATTTTCTCCAGGATTTTGGACAGGAAGGGAAGTTTTGAGATTGGTCTGAAATTTGAGCAAGTCGAAGGGTCAAGTCCAGGTTTCTTAATTAACGGATGAACTACGGCATGTTTGAAAACATCGGGAACCACACTTGTCACAATACTACTATTTATAATAGTAAGAACAGAGGGTCCAATCGTGGGTAGAACTTGTTTGAAAAACGACGCAGGAATGGTGTCAGCAGGGGAACCGGAGGGTTTCATCTGACCAACGACTTTGTTTAGAAATGGGAGTGAAATGGGTTCAAACTCTTTGAAGACAGCTGAGCAAGGGACAAAGACAGAGGGATCAGTTGTGGACTGAGGGATGGATGACCTAATCAACTCTACCTTATCAGCAAAGTATCTGGTAAAGTCATTGCAGATGTCAACAGAGGCCTCCATGCTGGCAGACCGAGGCACATTTAAAATGGAATTTACGGTATTAAAAAGAACTTGGGGATTATGACTGTTTGAAGCAATGATTTGGGAGAAGTATTTGTTCTTTTCAGATTTAACGATGCTCTGATAATCTTTCAAACATGTTTTTAACATAATAAACGAAACCTGTAATTTGTCCTTTTTCCACTTGCGTTCGGCTCTCCTGCATAGACGTTTGGCTGCTCGAGTGGTCGCGTTCAACCAGGGGTGTGGTGCCTGCTTTGGTCGCCTGATTTTTAGCAGGGCCACAAGATCTAAAATCTTAGAGAAGGTCGCATCATGCCTACTGAGCAGCTCCTGCATACTAATACAGGCAGAGGTTTCAGGGACTGAAGCAGCATCAGTAATGAATGCAGAGGAAAAAAGAGCAGCGGTTGAAGAGTTAAATATCTGACAACTCTTGGCTGGAGCAGGGGATTTAGACTCATGAATAACAGAGATTTCAAATGAAATGGGTTTGCGATCTGAAACAATACTATCCCCAATTTCCAGATTAACCACAGATAAACCGTGAGACAGAACTAAATCAAGTGTATGGCCCTGTTGATGAGTTGGACCAACAACATTTTGCACAAGGTTGAAAGATTGGATCAGATTTAGAAACTCCTGCACCAAAGGCTTGTCAGGACAGCAAACGTGTACATTAAAGTCTCCCAGAATCAAGACCCTGTTGTAATTGAGCAGTACTCCAGTCAGAAAGTCAGAAAATTCACTTATGAAGTTTTTGTTGTATGAGGATGGTCTGTAGATCAGGCTGCACAGTGTTGGGTTGGAGGGCCCAGCTCAAAATACAGCAATTCAAAACTCTGAAATGTCACAGCCTGTAGCTGTCTGCAGTTCCAGAGCTTTTTAAAAACTGTTAATAATCCACCACCCCCCACCAAAAGTCCCTGGAGCATTAAAAAAGGCACAATCCACTGGCAAAAGTTCAGAAAAAACACAACTCACCAGGGACGAGCCAGGTCTCTATAACAAACATGAAGTCCAGTCCATTGGAGCAGAAAAAGTCGTTTAAGATGAAGGTTTTATTTGCCAGCGACCTCACATTCAGCAGAGCAATCTTTGTAGGACCAGTAGCTGAAGGAAAAGCTGAGCTCGGAGCACAGATCAGCTGTTTCAGATTTTTGGAGTTTGAAGCGCACCTCCAAGGACCAGAGACGCCGCAGCTGTGCGCGCGCCCGTGGCGCGAGCCAGGCTCGACTACGGGGATCAGGTAGGACCCAGCAGGATCAGCGAAGCACCCGGACAGGCAAATATCCAGCAGATGGTCAGTAGGAGATGATGCAGCAGACAGTCCGGAGTTGGTTAAGTTCCACTGGAGACGACCGCTGTGGCGGGCGTGCCCGCTGCACGTAGCAGGCCTGGCCACCTGAAGCAGGGTGGTGATGAGTGGGTCAGCGAAGCATCCGGATGGACAGTTTATCGTCTGATGGTCAGCAGCAGAGAGCTTGATGCTGGCTTTAATCCTCACAAGACGGCCAGCATGTCTTCCACGGTGCCTGCAGCGATGTTTTCAGGCAGGCAGAAACGCCGCGCGCTGCAGGTAAACCGGCACATCAACAAGCAGAGGGGGTGGGGGTCCAGAGCCCTGATCAAAGTGGTCGAACAAGGCGGGGTTTGTAGTAGATAACTATATTTAAAAGTTGTTGGCGATCATAAACAAGCAGTGAGTTGATGTCACCGAAGAAAAATGACAAAAAAATAAAAAAACATCAAAACAGACAGAGGTGAACGGCAAGCCACCAGCACCGGCGCCATCTTCCCGGAAGAAAGGGGCTATTTAAGTACAGTCCATTTACCATTTCAGTTATTGGCGGCAGGCTTCCTCTCCCAATATCGTTATCGGCGATAGCCAAAGTTTCTATATCAGTTGTGCTCTAGTGGAGGTAAGCACTTGAAAGAGGAGGAATGAAAGTCAGCCGTAGTAAGACAGAGTACATGTGTAAGAATGAGAGGGAGGCTGGTGGAACAGTGAGGCTACAAGGAGCAGAGGTCACAAAGGTGCAAGACTTCAAGTCCTTGGGGTCCACTGTCCAGGAAAACAGAATGATGTCTGTCAGTTATGGGTCTTACCTGTGTTCTGCTGTTAAACTGCTCGATCAAAGACGGCATGATGGCGGCTGTTAAGACATAACTAGCCCTGTGTGAGGCGCTGCAGGAGGCCAGGAGCAGCTTGGCACTGGGCCATACGAGCTTCAGGTCAGGCTCAAACAGATGATGCTTACAGTCTGCAACAACGCCACACAAGGTTTTCATGCTGGTCTCTACAGTCCCTTCTCCAGAGTGACAAATTTTACAGCAAGTTTCACTAACATGTAGATCATCAGAAACAAAGATAAAACATTTTTATTGAACAAATGATCAAATTATAGGTCCAGCTTTCTTTGAAGGACTGCACATCACCCACTCCCTTTCATGTTAGTTTGACTAAGATTCAAAGAAATGATCGCGGTGTAGCTATTTCGATCAAACCTTTCAAATAGCTCTATATCAGTTTAACCGATTGACTTATAGAAGCTATATTGTGTTGGCTAAGAATTATTAGCCAACACAATATATTAGTGGTAGGTGATAACAATGTTTAAGTAATAAAATACCAAATAAAAAGTATATACAGTACATACATTTATAATTACTCTGGTTAAAGATAAAAAACTTTAATACCAACAACTTAATTTCCCTTGTTAATTTTCATACATCTTAAACATTTTATTTATTAATTGTTGTGGTGTAATATGCATGTTTCTCAGGTTTTAATCACACTTGTGTAATGAAGGTCCAGCTCACCTCTGAGAATAAGATCCAGGAAGGTGCTGAGGGTGTCTTCAGCGTCAGAGCGGAGGACTGATCGAGACAGACAGGAAGTCAGTGCAGTGACAGCACCGAGCGCTGCAGACTCTATCTTCTCACTCGATGTCTGAAACACCTGTAGTGAGGCAACAAGTATCGAAGTTCACTGTCCAATGATTATCAAACTGGTGTGGAATGTGGATTCCAAAAACACATAATGGGGTTCAGACTCGACTGGTAACAAACAAAACTTCCAATTCCATTTTAACTAAATAAGTATAAAACTCATTGAAGCAGTGTCACTTTAGTGGTTTTAGATAGCTTAGCCTTGGTGGATATCTTGAATCAGGTTGACCCCAGCAGGTGATTAAAAACTCCATTTTGTTGCATATTTCAAACAAACCTCTCTTTTCAATGACCTCCATAGGCCCTCGAGGAATTCTCTTAAATCTTTCTCTTCATACTGTGACATACAAGCAGCCTGAAACACAAGAGACACAAAGAGCAGATAAATTATTATTCATATTTACTTTTAGAGACTTTCGGCAGTAGCAAAACAATTTGTTTGGATTTTATAAGATGAGTTTCTCACCAGAGTCTGCAGCGAGTCCAGCTTAGCACTCTGAATGTCTGAGTCCATCTTCTCAATGATGAGAGGTAACAGAAACTGAAAATTCAAACAGAAACCCTTCAACTCCATAAAAGCTACTACAAAACTCTACCCTGCTCATCATAGGCGTCGTGTTAATTATATGTGAAGAGGATGTGTCCCACTCACATTTAAATAAATATTAATTTGTATCCCCCCCCCCCCCCTTACCATTTACCATGAAATATTAGTTCAACCAGCGCTGTTTTTATTGCTATGTGAACAAATCCATTTCACTTGATTCATAGGAGAATATGCAAACCACTGAATGTCCACTCCAGGTTTCCTTGGTTACCTACAGCAACTAAAAAAAAAAGTGTTGTAAGTGTAGTGAACTAAGCCTCAGGTCAAATCCTGACCTTGAGGGCCTTCCTGGGACAAGAACTGTATTTCATTGATTTGAGTCCAGAAACACAAAATTAAGTTCATCCAGAGACTTTCTAAGTGTGTCCTGCACTGATCAATTGAAAGAACACTCTCTTTTTATTATCATTACTATTTTACAAATGTCTTGATAATCAAAGTGCGTTTAGTTCAAACCATTTTTAAATGTTGAAGTGAACTACTCATTTTAAATCAACTGTGAAACAGTGTTAATGATTTTTTTTAATCCTCATTCAAAGTAGAAATCAAGTTAGAATGTGTTACAGAGTAATTATTAATTTTCTTGATCTTCTGTCTGAAATGAGCAAGTTGTGATGTCGGTCAAACGTCGGAGACAAACGCAAACAAGTTTGTTGGAACGAACTGTCATGTTTTTAAATCCTCTCAGACGTAAATAGAGAAGCTGGCACCTGTTTCCTCCCAACTCGCCTAAACATTTCTCTTGTCTGTCTCAAAAACATTTTCTGTCTGTTCCAAAACATTTTTCTGTTTTTCTGACTTCTAGTGACCTCTTGCGTCACAAAAACACACCCCTTGTTGGCTTTTTCAGCCAATCAAGACTTCCCAAATGAACCGGAAACAGAACTCTTTAAATGTCGACACTTCCTAGTTCCAACCAGTGCGGTGGGAGAGCAGTTCAGTTCGGAGAGCAGAACCGAACAGAAAAGTTGCTGGAGAGAACAGGAGGTTCCAGACATGATTCGAAGTTCTTCCGAGTCTCGTGGGAATTATGAAATCTTCCACATCTGAGTGGAACCTCTGACGGACTCACAACTCATGTGAGCCCACCCGTGAGGTGAAAGTGTGTCAAACGAAGTTCCGTCACTACTTCGGACGATTCACAGCTGTTCCTACGGAGACGCTGGAAAGGTGGCGTTAAAATGGAACTCCGTACCAGTGGAGACATCTTCTACAGGTAAAGAGTCGATTAATGCTACCTAAGTGTACCGAGGTCGAAGCTGGGATCTAATGGAGAGTGCCGTTCCGATACAGACACATATTCCCTCATCCATCTTCCCATCTCTCTCCATTTAAACTTCATTTCCCATCTTTAAAACTCTTCTATCTTGCCAGTAAATCATCCAGATATTTTCAGAAATGTCTGTTGTAGAGCTTGAACCCAGATACCATGGCCGTATGGTCTCTGATGGTAAAGCTAATTAATTAAGCTGTTATTGTGATCAATTTTGTCAAATTAATGTAAATGTTTGATGTTAAACTTTGATTCTGTTAATAAATGACCACATTCATTTGATGGGTCAAAGAAAATTAACGTCTCACGTTACATTTAATCATTCAATGCACGATATTATTCAGTCCAGAAAAATGAAAGAATCCGTTTAATTTATGAATATATCACAGATATATGTTCTTCTACATAAGCTTATAACCCTTTTACTGAACCACTTGGCCTTGGTTGTCCTCAGGCTGTTTCTGTGAGTAGCCAGTCGGCCATCCAGCCTAAAACATTTGATTGTTGTACATGATGATTGATTGTTTTGGATGAGTGTGTTCTGCATGTGTTAAAAGTCTACTTTTGAGATTCCAACAGGAGATTGGCTTGAAACACAGTAATGAAGGCTACCTATGGGACAGATATGGATGGAAGCCCGTAGACTGAGGAAGTCCTCTGGATGGGGGACAAAATGTTTCTCACTTAAAGAAACTGGCCCAGATGACATGATCTAACCTTTTTTTGTTGTTACCTACCTGGATGATAGAGCTTACAAACTGTTTTCATACATTGTCCAAAGCAATGCTTTTCGACACTTTTCAGCCACAGAGATACTTTTTCTTCCCCATATTGCTTAAAACCTGTAGCCTGCTTAATATTGTGGGACATCCATCCTTTAATTGGTCAAACTAATTATCACAGGTGTCTGAGCTTGTAGAGGAACTGCGTGTGGGGTGGGGGATTTGTTAGGCAGGACACTCAATCTGTTGACAAGGCAGGCCACCCTCCTTGAATAATGGTAAGGGAAACACTGCAGATGTTGCACATTCTGTTACTGCTATGTGTTAAGAATGACTCATCTACAAGCACAGCAAATTTAACCTCACTATCTATAAAACTGATAGAGTTAAAGCCATTTTTGTACTTGCTAATGTTGGTTAAATCTGGCGGTCACCTTGACTGTGGCTAACTCCAAAACTTCACCACATAAGGATGTAAATTTACTGTCTGCTTTGAGAGTTTCAATATAATCTGTGCTCTGGTTCATGTTTTTTTGCCAATAGACATGCAATCACAGATACACATAACATAATCTCCTTTTTGCCTTTTGGTGGTAGGCAAAAAAATGTTGCCCTACCTCTGCAAATTTAGGAGTTCCTGTGAGGACGGCCCTCAGTGCCAGAATTAATTCCTCTTTGGTGATACCGTGTGGGTCATTGGGAGGCTGGAGAGAAGAGATGGTGGTCAAAACGAGAGTAACAAGAAGAATAAACAAAAAAAAGACATTAAAACACACAAACCCATAAACACATTTGACAACATATCAAAAAATTACAACACAATCTGCAGTTTTAAATTAAATGTGAGTAAAAGTGAATAAGCAAATAAATAAGCAAGTGTCTATTCAAGAATAATACACCATCCACAAGAGAGCACAAGCCAGTGCATCTCTTGTGCCGGTCCCAAGCCCCGGTAAATGGTGAGGGTTGTGTCAGGAAGAGCATCTTGTGGAAAACACTTTTGCCAAAACTAATATGCAAGTTCATCTAGCAACAGCATACTGGATCGGTTGAGAACCAGGTTAACAATGACCGCCACTGGTGCTGTTGACAAACAGGGTGCCAGTGGAAGTTGTGCTGCTGTTAGTCGAAGACCACGAGGAGGGAAACGTGTCAAGAGATAGAGGGAGAAGAGGAGAGTCAAGAATGTAGGACTGAGGGTTGCAACTCTAAATGTGAGGACAATGACAGGCAAAGATAGAGAGCTGGCTGACATGATGCAGAGAAGGAAGGCAAATGTTTTATGTGGCCAAGAGACCAAGTGGAAGGGCAGCAAGGCTCGCAACATTGGAGCAGAGTTTAAACTGTTTTACCATGGTATGGATTAGAGCTGTCATTTCTAACCCAGAGCCCGCCCCGCCCGGATTAGGGTCAGTCCGGGCCATAAAAATGTGCTTAATGTGTGGGCTGGGTCGGGCCTTTGATTGCGAACGCGCGCAGCTGATGGTCCAATTATATGGCAACATGGCTTGCCATACTTTCACTAGCCGTACACAGCCATTTGACCGTGCATTGACCGGCCTTGAAAGAGGTCAAAAGTTCAGTTAAGCTTCAGATGGACTACTACCAGCGATCCATCAGCTCAGATGGACGTTCATTCAGCCACTGCACTGAGCGGCCGTGTGCGGCCGATGACCCAAACAGGTGAGATCACAAAATATCCGAGATGTCAGAGGCAGGGTCCATGTCTGAATAATGCAGAATACAGGCAGAAGTAGAGATTTAATGAGCTTTGACAGCCATGAAAAGACAAACACCCCCTCAGCTCCTATCTTCTGCCCCCTTAACCACGCGTGTCCGCCGACCGTTAATAATAATAATAATAATAATAAATTTTATTTCAGGGCGCCTTTCAAAAACCCAAGGTCACCTTACACAAACAATTAAAATCAGCAATTAAAAAAACAGAATCAACAAATAATTAAAATAAGTCACAATAAAACAACACTTAAAAAAAAGTTAAAGAGAATATATGCCTGTTTGAACAGGCATATATGTGTTTTCAATTGTAATTTAAAAGAGGGAAGAGAGTCTGTGTTCCTGATGACAGGAAGGAGGGAGTTCCAGAGCTGAGGAGCACAGCGACTGAAGGCTCTGTTCCCCATGGTGACAAGACGGGCAGAAGGAACAATAAAATGAGTGGCAGATGAGGATCTGAGGGAACCGGAAGCAGTGGAGATATGAAGCAGATCACACATGTAAGGAGGGGCAAGGTTATGGATGCACTTGAACGTGAGAGTTAAAATGTTTTTAATTTATTCTAGCTTCTATGGGCAACCAGTGAAGCTGCTGCAGAACCGGGGTGATGTGTTCTCTGAATGGGGTACAAGTTATGACCCCAGTGGGAGCAAATAAAGTGGGAACAGAAGGGGTCCAAGAATCGAACCGTGTGGGACCCCACAAGAAAGAGGTAATGAGGCGGATACATTATTACCAACCTTGACACAGAAACTCCTGCCACTTAGGTATGAGCGGAACCATTCTAATGCAGCACCTGTGATCCCAACCCACTGTTCCAGCCGTGATATAAGGATACTGTGGTCAACAGTATCAAAAGCAGCAGTAAGGTCCAGGAGCACAAGTACCACAAACTGACCAGAATCGTTTGAGTTCATCGAGAGTTTTATTCGGGAGACCAAAAAAAAGAGAGTTGCAATAATCGATCCTGGAGGTGATAAGGCTATTGACAAGGATGGCATCAGCATGAGGAGTAAGAACGGGACGCGGTCAGTTAATGTTACGTAAATGAAGGTAAGCAGACCAGGTGATAGAATTAATATGAGATTGAAATGAAAGTGTATTATCAAGTATGACACCCAGACTGTTTACCTGAGGGGAAGGATGAACATGGGAGTTGTCAATATTGATGGAAAAACTCTGCCATTTGGTTAAAGTGGAGACTGTGCCAACAAGTAAAACTTCTTTTTTCTTACTGTTGAGTTTAAGAAAATTTGAGGAAATCCATGATCTAATTTCCAGAAGACAGTCTGATAGGGAGGTAGGTAGAAGAGATGAATTGGGTTTTGAGGAAATGTAGAGCTGAGTGTCATCTGCGTAACAGTGAAAATTGACATTATGTTTGCGGAATATGTGGCCAAGAGGGAGCATATAAATAATAAATAAAAGGGGTCCTAATACAGAACCCTCGGGCACACCTGCAGCAACAGGAAACAAACTTGAGGAATGGGTTTTAAATTGAATGAACTGAGTGCGGCCTGAAAAATATGAATTAAACCAAGCAAGTGGAGTATGACTGATGCCAATGCATGCTAGTCTGTTCAGGAGGATATTATGAGAAATAGTGTAAAATGCCGCACTGAGATCAAGGAGGATGAGAATGTTGAGGAGACCAGAATCAGCTGCCATCAAAAGGTCATTGGTGATTCTTAATAAAGCTGTTTCATTACTGTGGTGGGGGCAGAAACCAGACTGGAATTGTTCGTAAAAATTATGTTTATTGAGGTGTGAGTGGAGCTGAGAGGCAACAACTTTCTCAAGGATTTTTGAAAAAAAAAGGAAGATTAGATATTGGGCGAAGGTTATCAAAATTACTAGGATCTGAACCAGGCTTCTTTAGAATTGGAGTGACAGAAGCTCTTTTAAGAGATGAAGGAACAATTCCAGTATTAAGGGAAGAGTGAATAATAGTGGTTATGAGAGGAACCAATGTGGGGAAACAAGCTTTAACTAACACTGTGGGAAGAGGGTCAAGCTGGCAGGTGGATGATTTTGATTTATGAATAATATTTGTTACATCAGATATGGAAGGAAGGGTGAAACTTGAGAGTAAATGACAGGAGGGCAGCAGGTTAAAACAGGGGGTCAGCTTCAGTGTTAGCAGCTCTTACAGGGTTACGTTGTTGGTGGATATTAGAAATATTGTCAGTGAAAAAGGACATGAAAGAGATGCAAAAGTCAGCAGAGTACATGAGGGAGGGAAATGAGTCCAGAGGCTTAGTAATTTTGGCAAACAGTGAAAACAGAGACTTGGAGTTACCTTCGTTAGAACTGATTAAACCAGAGTAGTATGCAGATTTAGCTGAAACAATGCAGTCCTTATAAAACAAAATATGATTGTTATACATTTCTTTGTGTATAGTGAATGCAGTTTTTTTGAACAGGCGTTCCAGTTGGCATCCCTTGGCTTTGAGAAGACGCAGGTTGAACGTAAACCATGGTGCTGAGCGAGAAAATGAAACAGATCTGTGTTTGAGGGAGCAAATGTGTTAAGAAGGTTTTGGAGGTTGACATTATAGTAGGAAGTGAGTTCATCAGGGGTTGAAGAGCAGTGAATAGACGGAAGGTCATATATAGCAGATGAGAAAATGTCAGGATCAATATCATTCATTTTCCTAAATGTAATGTCACGAGGAGTACAGGTTTTCAAAGCTATTATATTTACATCAAAAGAAATAAGCATATGATCAGAAGTGGGAAACAGATAGGCTTTGCAGTGAGTAGGGGTGACACCAGAGCAACAAACCAAATCCGGAATATGACCTTTAGAATGAGTAGGGAATTTGATGTATTGCTGGAGTCCAAAACTATCCAGACAGGAGTCAAATCTCTGGTGAGAAGGTTATTGTCATTGTCCATGTGAATATTAAAGTCACCAACAATAATCATATTGGGAGAGAGAACAGAAAGATGAGTGAGAAGAGCAGCAAAGTCACACAAAAAATCCTTATTTGGCTTTGGTGGTCGATAAACAGTACATAAAATAGTAGGAGTAGATTCAGGGAGCTGAGATGCAGTGTATTCAAATTAGTGGAAGAGGGGGGCAGAGACAGGGAGGACTTTCCAGTGCTTCCGATGAATTATCGCGAGACCACCGAGTTGCAGGGGGTGACAGATGTAAACAAACTCAGATGGGGTTGACTCGTTGAGAGAAACAAAGTCATTGGTATGTTGCCATGTTTCAGTCAAGCAAAGAAAGTCCAACTTATGATTGAGAGGGAGATCCTGGATGAGATGTCCCTTTTCAGTGAGAAAACAGATATTTAAAAGACCAAAGTTTATGTTGGAATTGCGATGCTTGATGATAGTGTTAGCCCACCTAGCCAGGTGGGCTAACACACTGGTTGACAGCCCGGTCAGAATTACGGGAAAGACGATGAGTTCTGGACCAGAAGGATTCTACGGAATCAGTGTCATTGGTATTAAAGTTTCGCCGGGACCCTCGGTGGATGTACTTTTGGCGGGGATTAAAAGTAATGTCCGGATGGAGGTGAAGCGCCACAGGTGAAGGGACAGCCAGGTGGAAGCGGAGTCCCAGAAGCTCTGTAGCAGTGTACTGAAGGAGAGCAGGTGGTGGACGATGGATAAAACAGTCCAGGTGAGGACAGACCACACACATACAACCTGTGGATCCACATCATAATCTGTCTGTTGTCAAACAGCGCAGAAACTCTTTACAAACTTTAGAAAAATCACAAAAATAGCAGCCGGTGAGTAGCGGCAGCCAGACGCAGCAGCCAGACGCGCCAGCGTTCACTCAACCGTTCCAACTTGTGAATTGGGTCAGCAATAACCATATAAGCAGTCAAAGCTTAATTAATAATGTTGTGTGTGTGTGTGTGTGTGTGTGTGTGTGTGTGGGGGGGGGGGGGGGGTCAGGTTCAGACCTGTAATTACTGTTAATTCATTGGGCCGGGTGGGGTTCAGA